GAGCCTCACTCTCGTCTTCCAACAGGACCAGGCCGAGGGCCACCCGTCAGCGACTCGCCGAGCCCCTGGGGGCGCCCGGCCTCGGGGGTCCAGCTATCGCTGGGGGTCCCCACCACTGCCCCCGATGCCTCCAGGAACCCGCGGCTGGGTGCCCGGCCCCCCGCCCAGCGTCGTTGTCCTCTGGAGGCCACGCTCGGTTCTCCCACCGCCTCTGCCCTCCGTTCTGTTCTGCTTTTTTTTCCTTGCTGCCCCCCCAGCCCCAGAATAATTTCCTTTGTGTAAACAGCTCTTCTAGTCAGGAAGCAATACCGTTTCAGGTCTGAAGAAAGGGACATCAATCTGGCCGAGGGCAAATTCAGTTTTACTGTATAAACTCGGCCGTGCAGCTCGGCCCCCCTCCGGCTGCACTGGCAGCTGAGGGCCGCGGTTTTCTAATATTTGTATTCTAATTTAATTGTTTTTAAAAAACGCAAATAAAAAAGGTCAAGGTGAAGCCACCGAGGCGTCCGCTTCTCTGTGCCTTGGGGCGCTGGCCGGGGGTGAGGGGATCGAAGGACAAAAGCTCCCCGTGGACGGTCCCCTCGTGCAGCGTGGCGTTGGGGATCCAAAAGGCGCGGCATTTGGTCGAAGGCGGAAGGTTTCGCTTTGCACTGCTGGGCCCGGCGTGGTCTTTCCGCTACGCTGGGCGAGGAGCCGGGGCAGATCTGCCAGATCCAGGATTGTCCCCGCTCGCCTGGGGAGCCGGTGAGCTGGTGGGAGGGAACTCGGACCACAGCCCCGAGAGCGCAGCAGAGCCGCCGGGCGCGGGCCTGCAGTCCGACAGTTGCAAGTGTCGGCGAGGATGCGGAGGGGCTGGAACCCTCGCGAGGGCTAGCGCCCTGGAGGACAGGACACCAGGTCCTCCGCCAGGTGAGACACGGAGTGACCACGGGACAGCCATCCCCGTCCTAGGTTAGTGAGCCAAGCTCACATACAAACCCGCACACGCATGTGCACAGCGGCCAGAAGGCGGAAACAGCCCCGCGTCCGGCGACAGGCGAATGGATAAAGGAAGGGTGTCCACCACGTGCGGGCACACCCCGCTGCCGCGAGCAGGAGCGAGGCGCCCACACGCGCGGCCCCGGGGACGGACCCCGAGCCCACGACGCTCAGGGAGGGAACCGGACACGGAAGGCCACACGGGGTGTGAGTCCACGTGGCTGACACGTCCACGGATGGGAAGGCGGCTCGCGGGACAGTGTGGGGGTGACTACTAACAGGGATGGGTTTCTGGGGTTATGGAATGTTCTGAAACTAGACAGGGGTGGGTTCCTGGAAAATGCTGCAGGAGGAGTCTTGTGTGAGTACTATTTCAATTAAAAACAAACTCCTCCCTCCTAGCGGGGCTAGGGGGGACACAGGGCACGTGGGAAGAGGCCCTGGTGGGCTGGTGGCTGCCTCAGGCCGCTGGCCCCATCCCCCCTCTGTCTGCCTGTGTCTGCCCCCACGGGACCCTGAATCCCTCCCCGAGCCCCCGCTAGTGCTCTCCCAGGCTGTGGCATGGCCATCCCACCCCTCGGTCCCCTCCATCACCCACCCCCTGCTCCCCACTCGGGGCCCTGAAAGTGGCCATGTTTGGTAACCCCAACCCGGACGCGGAGGCTGCAGTCCCGGACCCCTCGTTGTGAGTGGGCAACAGCCCCCCTTCCTCCTTGGGGGGGGATGTCAGGGGAGCGGCCAGCGCCGATCCTTGATCATGTCATGGGGCCCAGTGTGGGGCCGCACCCGGGGGCCTCCGACAGACTTGGGGCTCCCCAGCCAGACGCCCCGCCCCTGGCCTCCAGAAACCCTGGAGCTGGAGGTGGCCGAGAAGCCTGTCGGGCCAGTTCTCCCTGCCCGCCCCCCGGGGCCCCTTCCTGGTGCCACCTGCCCAAGCCGGGGCGTGTGGGTCACCTCCTCTGTAGGGGCCCCAGGCCTGCCAATGCTGGGGATCCCCACCCAGCCCGGAAGCCCAGAGCCCAGCTCCCACACTGCCTCCCAGGCCTGGCAGGAAGGGTCAAGCTGAGCACGGGGCCCCGACTGGTGTGGGCGCTTAAGGGCCAGACCCTTGGTGAAGGGGCCCCCCGGGCCCTCCGTCCCCGCTCCCCAGCCTCCCCCCACCCACCGAACAAAACACAAAGAACATCAAAATCAGGCAAATGAGGCAGCAGCATTCGTAACAGGCTGCGTTTAGTGGTTTTTTATGTACAAGAAAAATGATTTTTTTGTCTGGTTTTTCATCTTTTGTCTTTTTGTTTTTGTTTTTTTTATTACTTTTAAAGCTTCTCCCCCCCACCCCCAAAAAGTGCATTTTTATCAATTGATTTTTTTTTTTTTAAATCTCCCACACTTTATAAAGACTCTCAAATACAGTCTATGGAATGTCTGCTCTGTGCTCTGTGCCCCCGGGCGCCTCCCCTGCCCCCCATTCACCAGGCCCGGCCCCCCCAAAGTCCAAGGCACCTCGTATCCGGGCCTGGGAGGGGCAGGGGGGAACCTGGGTATCTGAACCCCTGGCCGCGGCCTCCAGGCAGCCTCAACTCCGGGACGGGGGTCTCCCCGGCCCCCTCCATCTCCTGGCCCTGCCCGCCCACCCCCCATGTAAATCTATGTATTTAGTGCGAGCTAGTCTTAACTCTGAGGTTATGGTTCCCGGGGCACCTGAGCCCCCAGGCCCTGACCCGTCCTGCGCCAGCCACCCCTCCAGGAAGGCTGCTTCCTCAGCTTAAATAACTTTTTAAAATAAAACTGCAAATATAAATATCTTTCTTTCTCAAAAAATAGGATTTTTGCTTTTTTTGTTGGTTTTAAATTTTTTGTCCTGCTTTTCCTTTCACTCTGTCTGGCCTCCTACAGTCCCGGCTGCCTGGACTGCCTCGGTCCTGGGGAAGGGGGGGGTCCCCGGGCCCCACCCCCTGTCTCGGTCCCACCGCGTCCCACACATCCGCCACGGCCCCCCCACCCCACTCCAGCCACCATCAGTGGGTCTCAGTAGTGCAAAAACTCCCCAGAGGGCCCTGGAAGGGACTTGGGGACCCTCCCCTCCCACCTGAGACCCCCTCCCCCCTGGAAGGAAGCAAAGGGACAGCCATGTACAAACGGAAACGGGATGAGATGGCCACATGGGGTCTCCTGGGCAAGCCACCCAACGGGGGCAGACTTTGGTACGGCCTGCTGGAGCCCCGGCTGGGCGCAGGCCCACACCGCGCCAGGCTGGGCCTGCTCCGGCACTTTTACATTCACTGGGTTTTAAGGTTTTTTTTTGTGTGTGTGTGTGTGTGTGTGTGTGTTGTTTTTTTTTTTTTTTTTTTTTTTTTTTTTTTTTTTTTTTTTTTTTTCCTTAATCTCAAAAGGCAGGGTCAGGGTTGGGGTGGGGGGCTAGGCAGGGAGGAGTAGTAAGGGTGTTAACCTCTCTCCCAGGTCCTGCAGGCCGGTGGACGACTCGGGGGGGGGCCCCGCCCCCCCCCCCCCGAGCGCCCCCCAGAGCCCCCCAACCCGGAGCCCCAGGCCGGGACCTCACTCTTGCACACGCGCGCACAACACACATCCACACAACTTCACCAAGATGATGGAAATAACAATTTCGCTTTGTTTTTCTTTTTTTTTTTTTTTTTTTTTTGTACCAGGCAGTTAAAAAAAAAAAAACACCCCAAAAAAAGAAAACACAAAAAAACCCCAAACAACCAAACAAAAAAACGTTTTGCTGTGTCCCTTCTGACCAGTCAGCACGTTCCCCCTCAAATATTTTTTTTTTGTTTGTTTGTTTCCTGAAACGTGAGAATTCAGCAGTATCTTTGGCAACACTTTATCACGACCTTAATTTAAAGAATAAAAATAAAATCGATCCACA